GCTTGCTATTATCTCCCCTTCTATGCTCATTTCCGCAGTTCTGATCTTTCTTCGGCCGGCTACCAGTACGATCTGTTTTTTTTTCGAGAGCGATCTTGGTTCCCATATCGCTCAGCTTATGGTTTAAAAGCCACATGTTATAACTGGCCTTGCCTTGGAGGCTCTCCAGATTATTTGCCTTCACAACTAGGGCAATATCGTCCGCGTATTGATGCGTATTCCCGGTTATTGACACCCCGTCCTCTAGATTCTCCTTCAGAATGTCCTCGTAGAAGATATTCCAGAGTGTGGGGCCCAGCGTGGATCCTTGCCGGGTTCCACACGTCATGTCAAAGACGGACCCTTCCGGATCAATGATAAGTAAGAGCATAGGATGCTGATGAGGTACCGGTCTATCTCTCTTTCTTCCATGGCGTCCCTTATCCTGCCCCACTGTGCCGAGTTGAACGCTCTCCGAACGTCTACCAGGATTAGGAGACCAGTCCCGATGTTGGGGGCTTTGCTTTCGGTCTCACTGACTAATTCCTGTACCCGACTGATCGCGTCCAGCGTGCTTCTTCCTTTCCTGAAGCCATACGAGTGTCTTGGATAATAGGCCTTTTGTCTATTATCTCTTCGAGTCTCCTTTTCAGCAGCTTCTCGAAGAGTTTCCCCATGGTGTGATTAGGCACAGGGGCTGAAGGATCTTTCAGCTCTATCATCCTTGCCTGGTTTTTCTGGTCTGGGTTCTTATGTCCAGTGCTGTCGGTGGTTTGAACATTCCAAATTTCTTCCTGACTATCTGGTAAGCCCGCCCCCAGATGTTGTTTTCTAGGTCGTCAATAAGCTCTCTCTATTTCGCATTTTTGTTCCGCTGGATCAGGCTTCTGAGCGCTTTTTTCTGGGAGGTGTGCAGCTCCTTTAACCTGTTGATGCTTTGGGCTTCACTGGGTGCTCTTCGTTTTGCCCTTGTCAGCATTCTTCTCGATTTTATGCACTCCCTTCTCTTTTCGGCGATCTCCTCATTCCACCAGTACACCCGCAATTCCGGGGTGTCGATGTTGGGGAGCTACTGGACGCGCAGTGCAAGGGTTTTGGAGAATTTTTCCACCATAGAAGGGTTCGCTGTCCATTTCCATGTGTTCCGTACTTGGATTTGACTGTCCCCAGGTCCTTCACCGCGGGTCGTTTTGGACCGCTTTTTTGGCTTCCAACAAGGATTTTTTGAATTCGTCGCAATTGCCGCTCCCGGCTTTGTGACCCTTTTTTGGGCAAATGGGGCAGTTGGGCTCCTTAGTGCACTCCCTTGTTTGGTGCCCTTCTTCCCCGCATGCGAAGCATAGTTTGGAGCGGTCCATCCCCGGCTAGGTTTACGTAGAATAAGGTAGAGGGCAAACTGTACATTTATTATGTTAGTTTATTATTATTGTTAGTTCTTAAGTATCCGTCATGGAGTCCCTAGAGGACCAGGACTAGCTGTAAGTTAGTTTAGGTAGTAAGAGAGGCTGTATTAGATTTAGGTCTAGGCTTAGGGGTAATGTGCCCATGTTAGGTTAAGGTAGATTAAGGTAGGTTAAGTCAGTGATGTTAGTTATACATAGAGTGTAAAACACTCTAAAGATGTTAGATTTAAGTACTCTCAGATAAGTTAGCAGTAAGGAATTTTGTAAAATTTAGCTAAAAGAAATTATGTTTCAAAGGAACGGTAGCATACATGCATCTTTTTCAGTTGCTCTCAGTCTCTCGACCGATGAACAACAATCCTAATAGAACTGCTTTTTTTTACTTTGGCACAAAAGTGAGCCATTATCGCGTCCCAACCTGAGTGTTGAAGCTTCGCTGCTTCGTGTTGGCCAACCCACTGGAACCACGTGTTTACACAAAGGCTTCCAAAAAGAAATTCGAGCTCGTGCCTCCCTCAGGGGCACGTGCAGGTCCCTAAGGGCTCCGGAAAGCCCCTGCTCAGTTAATCAGTGTCAGTCAGTGCAGTTCGAGGATAAGTTCTCGGGAGTTCGAGGTTGGCATTGCCTTCTTGAGATTTCAGCACTTCCTGCTACAATTCTACGTATCAGAAAATGAGTGATTCCGAAAGCGACAAAATCCGCGAACGCCCAAACAACGCGATTTCTATCTCAAACGGTGCAAATGGTACCTTGAGAAAAATGGGAAAGACCAAATCCCAATCCCCAAAATTACCTACCAAAGACCCTTAAATGCTTAAAAGCCGAAATTAAAGCCATGCGGCTTCGCAGGCATCAAACAAAGCGACCGTATCAAGCCTCAAGCCGCCCAAATTCAAGAACTCACCCGCCTATTCACTTTCGAGTATCAAAGAAATTCACCCCAAACTAACCAGTCCCCCGCCCCAAAAAGCCCCTGGCCAGACAGTGTCTGAAAAAATGGAAGTTGAGGACTTCTCGCCCCTACCACCCGCGCTCTCAGCTGACTGTGCTGCAGCACTCAGACACCCCCGAAAAAAACCAAAAACAAAGCCCGCAAACTTCCGCCACCCAAAGTCTAAAAGACTGTTCGGCCCTCAACTCTCAATCGAAAACGGCACCGAATTCCGAAACACCAGCCCTCAAGCCATTCCCATCGACATTCGGAATTGGGCTGAATGGACGAAAGTCCGCAATCTCCTAACTCAAAATAAGTGTGGGTTCTCAAACCCCAAAAAAGTAACCCTATGCATCCAAATTCACCCCCTAATCACCGATGATCACCGTGAAATTACCAAGCTCTTCTCGTGCGAAAAGGTGGAATTCCACACCCACACCCTTCTTGAGGAAAAGAAGCTCATCGCAATTATCAAAGGTCTCTACAGCAAAATGTCGCTTCCCGAAATCCAAGCAGAATTGGAGAAATTGGGCTTCAACCAACTTCTTCCCAACTTCTTTCCAAATGCAATTCTTTCCAATTGGAAACGCCAAAATCCAGACCAACATGGTCAAAATGCTCCTCCCAAGAGACCAAACCGCAGTCCGGGTTAAATACCTGCTTAATCTCGTCGTGGTCAGCGAACCACAAAGAAACTCCCAAGCCAATAACACCAGGCCACAGAGCAAAAAGTGCCAAAAGTTTGGCCACACCATGCCAAATTGTGCGGCAAAACCCGCATGCCACAGGCGCGCCGAGGGCCACTTCTATCTCGAATGCAAAAAGCCAGGCGACATCTCAGCTGAATGCATCAATTGCAACGGCCCTCACCCGGAAAGCTATTTCGCTTCCCCAAAAAAATCCCAACTTTGTGGCCCCAACCCAAATTAAAATAAAATAAGCCAGTTTCCAAAATAAGGTTGATTCAACCATATCGTTCGCCTCCAAAGTGGTGCAAAAAGCTCCACCTAAACCTCCAGCCCCAAAAAAACGCCCGTGCGCAGCAAGCCCCCACATCTTCGGCCCCCCAAAACGCCAACATCAACCCAGCACTCGTCCTGCTGCTGCTTATGCCTGAATGTGAAATCCAGGCAAAACTCAACTGCATAGCAGCAATGATTAACAGCTGTCCCGCTCTACAAGCACTCGCATGCCCCCATCAAAGCCCGCGGGAGTTCACATCGTGTCCTGGAACGCCAACTCACTCTATCCCAAAAGGTTTGAACTGAAAAGCTACCTCAGGGAAAACTATGTGGACATCGCGCTCCTCCAGAAAACTTTCTTGCAACCCCAAACGCAGTTCGGAATTAACAACTACAAAATATCCCGTAACAACCGCGCCCAATACCCGCGGGGGAGGCACTGTCATCGTAATCAAAAGCTCCCTGGCCCAATCCCAAACGCCACCAACCACCAACACCTTCATCGAGCACACCTCCATTATCCTCAATATGGAAAATTCCCAATTCC